CTGGCAAGCCTAAGGTCCCGAGTTTGATCCATGGTACAAAAAAACAAAAGCAAAAACTGCACACATACCTAAAGTTAGGGATTTTATTATAGGTAGATTTTATCTCATAAATCTGAAAAAACAGTGTAAAATTCAGGCCATGACCCAGTAGATTTTGCCTGACCCCACCCTGCCAGCCCTGCTCTGTCCTGGGATGGCTCAGATCCCACTTGGACTTGCAATGGACTCAGGCCCCAGCGCCTTTGCACTGTCTTTCCTCTTGGAACACTGCCTGGGTCTTGGTGGTGGCTTTTTCTCCAGAAGGGTGGGATCTTAGTGGAGTCTCAGCTATCGAGTGTTACCTGTGTCCCTTCTCCACTGACCACCCTGGCTGGGGTGCCCCCAACCCTCATCCTGACCCTGAGTCCGTCCATGTCTGGGTAGGATGTTAAGGAGTATGTTCTAGGGTCACAAGTGGAAATGCTGCCTTTATTTCTCCAACATCACAGGCCGCTGGCCCCGAGCTGGAGCTGGCTCTCCACAGTGCGTTTGACGTTTACGTTAACAGTGCAGCCCGGCTCTGTCGGACCCACAATGTCTTTCTCACTGACTGGCAGCCCTTTTGTTAGAAACGTTAGTTTGTGTTTAATGTTTCCTGTCACTTGGAAGAATTCAAAGTGCCATTTTAAAAACACAAAATGAGAGAATAGAATTCTGACTTCACATTAAACAAGAGTAATTGTTCTCAGGTATCTCTCTGACTCTAGTGCAGAAAATGCTCTAAGGACCCAGGTCTGCTTGTTTATTGGCTCCCGGACTTGAGTGATCATGGCCAGCACCCTGGCCCAAGGAGATGCTGGGCCAGGTGTTGACCTGCCGTGTGCAAGGACTGGGGTCATATCCCTGCTGCAAAGAATAAACTAAACAAAATAAAAGTAGACGGCAAGCTCGGGCTGCTCCCAGGACTTTGCATTTGATTCTTTCTGCCAAGTTGCTCTGCTATCTGATGAATGGGCTCCACCGGAAAATCACAGGATTAATAATTGCACCCCAGCTCCACAAAGCCCTTCTCTGTATCATTGCCATTTTCTTGATTTGATGCATTTTCCCAGGAAAATAACAAAGCCACCTCGTGAGTGCCACAGGCAGGGATGTTAAATTTAGCTGGTGCTGTTTCCTTGGGCTGCGTGACTTCTGCTCTCAGCTGTGCGGCTTTCAGCCGGCCCTGCGCGTGAGTGTCCAGCAAAGTGCTCTGCGGGAGGAAAAGGTGCCAGGCTGAGGCCACCCGCCTCCCTGCCACCCGCAGACTGTGCCTGTAGCTTTCCTGGAGCCACTTCCAGCCTTGTGCCCTTGGAGTGGCAGCTCCCGGGTTGAGGATGGAGCTATGGCCAAGAGCAAGCGCGTCCTGCCCATGCCAGCTGGGCAGAGCGTATGCCCCCCCGCCTGGAGCTGGGGAGACAGCAAAGAGATCGCTCCACACTGGCTCTGAGGGAGAAGAGGCTGCAGATGTGACAAGGGATCTGGGAGAGTAAACTGTGGGGACCGAATGTCAGGCTGCAGCCCTGACTTCCTTCCCTCTGCCCTTTCTGTGGCCTGGTTGCAGAGCCCTGCTCTGCACCCCTGCTGATGCCCAGGCAAGGAGGGTCCACTTGCTGTCTGTGAGGTGGGCGGGACTCCTGCCTTTGACACAGCCTTGGGGTGGGACCCTGTTTCTCCAGTCGAACATAGAGGCTGGCATAGGGTTCTGCCTCCCAGGGTAACAGCGAACACAGAGAAACACTAAGCAAAGCATTTTCCAGAGCAGGAGGCAGCCAGCACTGCAAGTTTGCCTGCTGAGCTTAATGACAGGAGTGGAGTGAGTGTGTGTGTGTGTGTGTGTGTGTATGCACATGGTACTGGGGAATGAGCCCAGGGCACTACTACCTCCCATCCCCCTTTCTTTTTCTTTTTTTTTTTTTGGTTTTTTTGAGACAGGGTCTCACTATGTAGTTCAGACTGCCCTGGAACTCACTGTGTAGCCCAGGTTGGTCTTGAACTCACAGCGATCCTCCTGCCTCAGCCTCCTGAGTGCTGGGATTACAGGTATGCGCCACCATGCCCGGCATCCCCTTTATTTTTCATTTTGATCCAAGGCCTTGCTAAGTTGTCCAGGCTGTCGTTGAACTTTGCACCCTTCCGTCTTAACCCTCTCAAGGACTATGTCATTGTGCAATGCAGGGTTGATCTCTCTCTCTCTGAATTTGAGACTGAAGCCCAGAGCTTTCACACTGAGCTACATCACCAGTGCTGAGTCTCCCTAAGTTGCTAAATTGCCCAGGCTGGGCTCAAACCTATGATCCTGCCTCAGCCTCCCAGGGGCTGGGATTACAGGTGTGCACCGCCATGCCCAGATCCTGGGCTCTGTTAAACAGTTTTCATGTTGCTTCTGATCTCCAGCAAACAGCTCCCTACTCTCAGCCCTTCACTGTGAACATAAAGAAAATGAGGGCAGGAAAAGTGACTCCCCAAGGTTGCAGGGCCAGTGGGAGTAGAGCGGGGCGGCAGCCGGGCCTCTTACTGCCAGGATATTGCCAAATTTTCATCAGGAAGGCGCAGTGGGCACCTCCACCTCATGGACCTGGTGCAGCCCAGCACAGGCCAAGCAGAGAGAGAGCTGTGGTCCTGGCCCTGGCAGAAATCGTTCCCTGCTTGCCTTCCCGGTTCCAAGATGGTGCGAGCTTCCCTGGACAGAGCTGGAGATGAGGATGGGGAAATGGCCTGGCCACTGTTCTCAAAAACCTTAAAGAAGGGGTCTGGGGATGTAGCTCAGTGGTGCAGTGCCTGCTTGGCAAATATGAGGCCCTCAGTTCAAGTCTCTGTACCAAAATTAAAATAATAAAAATTTTAAAAGCTGGGTGTGGTGATGCACACCTGTAATTCCAGCACTCAGGAGGCTGAGGCAGGAAGATCACCATGAGTTGGAGGTCAGCCTGAGTTACATAGTGAGTTCAAGGCCAGCCTGAATGACACAGTGAGACCCTGTTTCAAAAAAAAAAAAACAAAAACAAAAAAACAAAAACCCAAAACCAAACCTTAAAGAATGAATCATGATGAAAACTCCCACTTTTTGTTTTTGTTTTTGTTTTTTTGAGACAGGTCTCACTATGTAGTTGAGATTGACCTGGAACTCACTATGTAGCCCAGGCTGGTCTTGAACTCACAGCGATCCTCCTGCCTCAAACTCCTGAGTGCTGGGATTACAGGTGTGCACCACCATGCCCGGCTGCAAACTCCCTCTCTTGACCTCCAAACTTGAACACCAATGAAGGACAATACAGAGCTGAAAAGTAATGTGCAGACTGCAGAGAAAGCAAACACTGCCCGAGGGCTCTACACACCACAGGCAGGAGAGGGCTTGGTGGACAGGGGATGGCGAGGCAGGTGGGTCTGCAGGTGATTTCTTTATCTACTTCCTCTGTGTGATTTCGAAGCCCATTCTCCTCCAGGACTCAGATCGTGGCTCAGTGTTTGTCCAACCCAGGAGCCATCCTACTCCACAGCACAGTTCCGTGAATGCTGGGCCCCAGGTAACAGAGACTTGGGTCCACCTGAAGGACCTGGGTCAGATGGGCCAAGGTGGACAGCCTCTTTGAGACTGCCAGCCCAGGGTCTGATGGGAGCAGCAGGGCCAGCCGGAGCCTAACTACACCAACCCAGGCTCAGGGCCAAAAGACCTGCATGCTGGCCCAGCCCAAAGCATGAAGGAGAGGCTGGTCACAGTGCCTGTGGTGGCATTTGGGAGCTGAGCCCGCGGGTCTTCCCACAGTAAGCACCTGCTACGCGCCACAGCCTGTGGGACGTGGAGGGGGCAGGCAGACAGGTGCTCTGCTTATAACATTCTCCAGGCTCTGGATCTGATCATGGATTAGCTCCTAAACTGATTGTCTCAGTTACTTTTCTCATTGCTGAGACAAAATACCGGACACCCACAAGTTACAGGAGGAAAGGTTGATTTGGTTCGCAATTTGTAGAGGCTTCAGCCCATAATTGGCTGGCTCCAAGGTAGGGTGGCACATGGCAGAGGGGCAGGAGTTCATGGAGGGCAGAGGCAGCAGAACAAGCAAGGGCCCTTAACTGAGTCTTCCTGTCCCTTCTGTCTTATCCAGGCTACTTAGCGGGGGCAGCACTCACACCCTTAATCCTAGTTCCCTCGGCCCAGCACTGCACCGTGAATCAATTCCAGCCTCACACACTCTAGACCCAGTCACCTCTGAAGAGTGCCCCCTATCACCGCATGAGGCTTTGGGGGAACATCTAGACAGCTGTAACACTGCCGCTGCCCACTAAGAGGAAGGGACACATGGGAACAGACTACTATGCTAAGGACGGTGAATTCTGGGGAGCACAGACTGCAGCCATGGGGACAGAGAGATGCCAGTGCTCTGAATCCAAAGCACCCACCCTTACTGGGGGGCCTAGAGGAGGTGGAGGGGCACAGGCTGCCACCTGGCCAGCTTCCTCAGGGCCTGGCTGGGGGCTCCATCCATGCCACTCCTCCTGCTGGGCCCCACGTGTGTTCCCCAGAACACACAGTCTGCATCCCTCGGTTCCTTGTGCTGGCCAGTGGCCGGTCATCTAGCCCCTGGGGACAGCTTGCTCCCATTTAAATGTTTTCACAGGAAGTTTGCTGTGGGAGAGACAGAGGAGGCCAAACAAAGGGGTTTTTAAAGAAAACTGAAAAACCTCATGTTCAAAAGAATGAACAGAAGATGAGGGAGGCCTCTGCTTTCTTTGCCCTTCTGGCTTGGAGGGGATTTCATCATTCAGTAGCCACCTGGGGGCCTGGGTTGGGGACAGCATGAAGGGCCGGGCCGGTGGCCCCTGGAGCCTCCTTTCCCTCTTTCCACCTGGTCCAGGGTCCCTGGTGTAGAGGGCTGCCCTGCAGGTCAGGAGCGTGTGTGTGTGTGTGTGTGTGTGTGTGTGTGTGTGTGTGTGTCCTGGCCGGGCTGCCAGACCAGCAAGCTGGGGCTGGATTCCACCGCCCCCACCTGTCTCGCTGTGCGCGGCTGGTGCCCGATGAGGACCTGTGCCCAGCGGCGAGGTCAGAGGGCTGGGGTCGCCTGCATGCTCTGCGCTGGGAAAGGAGGGGTGTGGTCGAGGCTTGCAGTGACGGGGCAGGGAGGGGCGGGGCATCGATGTGGGCGGGGCATCGGCAGGACCGCCCCGTGCCGCCCCCT